CGGTCATAATAATCCTACTCCTACTCATATAGTGTAGCAGCAGGGGGTTGGGATCTTACAGCCAGCAGTTTAGTAAGCCCTGGAGAGCAGAAGCCTGGCAGGAGAATAGCTGCAAGAGCCCAGGCTCTGCCCTCTGCATTTACAGCGCCGATGCTGCCCCTTGTAAAGCTGATGCGGGGACCAGCACTCAGCTCACACCTTCTAGCAGCAGCCACCGCCTTGGCTGCAGCCCTGGAGGCACTCGAGTACCCGGGAGGCGGCGGAGCTGCGCCGCGCGCAGTAGCCCGGCTCGCAACGCCATCTACCGGCCAGCGGCCGCAAGCTCCGCAGCTCGAGCCGCCCTCCCTCCTCCAGCCCGGGAACCTCTCCGCGAGCCCTTTCCATGAAATCCTAATTTAGCCAGGACCTGCTACTGATACCAAGAGCCCTTTTGTTTATCCACCGACATTTCCTCCTTTTCAGAGCGGCTTTGTTCCAGGGAGGGGGCTCGGGCTTCCTATCAGAACCTCTGATCAGGCCTATGGGCTCGAGCAATCAGTTTCCCAGATTACTTGTATTTAATACACAATGCATCATAAAACAAATCCCTCATCCTGACAGGAAGAAAATAGAACAGCTCATAGCTCGAGCTGGTCCAATTTATGGCTAAATTAAAAAAAAAAAGGCTCCAACAATGGACAAGTTAAGGGAGGGCAGGAAATCAATGGGCCAGCAAACCGGGAGCTCGCTGAGGTTCCCACTCTGTGGGAATCTCGGGCCAGGATTTGGGGGTTATTTACAAAGGGTTTGTTTTTTTTTCCTGTCCTACCTAACTCGGCTGGGCGCGATTTTTTTTCTTCCCTTCTCTCCCCTCCCCGTCTGGAACAATAGCCATTATCTGAAATAACAGCTCAATGTCACAGATAACAGGCCGCTGAGCCGAATTCATCATCATCTCTTGTCACTTGGGCTCTCGCCCTCCTCTTCCCCCCAGCCCCCCAGGAAAAAAGAAAATCGACTTTTAGTCCTAGCACTCTCTTTGCCTTTCAAAAAGAAGGAGGCGGCCCTTGCGATCCTGCAGCAGGGGAAGATAAAGTTAAGGTCCCCTTTGTGCGCCCCCCAGCTCCCGAAAACCAGCGTGGTTCACCTCCGTGGATCTGCCGGCGGCCGGGCCACTCGGCTGCATGCATCGCTAATAGAGGTGTGAGGACTTTTTGTTGTTTGTTTGAAACCCAGCAGCACCGCCACGCTCCGAGGAAAGTCCTCTCGCGGATTATGAACCCGTATCGATCCCTCTCTGCCCTCCTCCTGCTCCTCCGCCCGCTCCAGTCCTGGGACGGGCGAGCAGCTCCAGGCAGCCCCGATGGCGAGCGGAGGCACCGCGCCGGGCCGCAGCAAGCGGCGGGGTTGGAGCCGGAGCAGAAGGATCACCCCAGAGCTGCTTTTTGTTTCTAAAAAAAAAATAAATCCGCGCCCTCATTTTTGGTGGAGAGCGGAAGAGCCCCCCGGCAGGGGCAGGAGCAGGAGCAGGCTGGGCGTCGCGTTCCCAACTCCACTCTGCAGCCACGTTGCCGCTTTGCACTGCGGCCAGGCGGCATTTGAAGACCGATCCCTCCTTGATCCCTCCGTAGATCCATCCCCCCTCCAACTAAAAGAGAAAAAACACAACCCCCCCCCCAAAAAAAAAACAAAAAACAAACAAACAAAAAACTCGGGTGAGCAGGGGGAGAAATGACCGGGCAGCAACACCGCCTGGGTGCCAGGGCTCGCCGCGCACGTCCATGCCCTGAGAAGCCAATTCACTTGTTTGGTGTTTGTTTGTGAACACTATAAACTTCAGCCCAGGCTGCTGCTTTGGGGGGGAGAAGGGGAGGGGGGGTGTTGTTAGTACAAAAAAAAAAAAAGCAAAAAAGCAGCGGGCAGACAGACAGACAGCCAGACAGCAAGCCGCTCGCACACTTGCACTTTCCGAGCACATTGAACCCAGGCGAGGTTTCCCCTGCTCCCGCCCCAGATCTCCCGATTGGTCGCCGGCTGCACGGCTGGACTCGGCCGGTGCATCCGTAATCAGTCTGCCCCTATAGGGCTTCTGCCTTCGCGACCTTTTTGTGACCTCTCTCGCCAGAGGAGGCTGCTGTCACTTTAACCAGTGACTGAAAGAGGAGCCTGCGCCCGGCTCCCGAGCGCCCGGGGGCA